CAGCTGGGCCGGAACCAGCCTCAGAGCCAGGCAGCCCTTACCCGGGGGGCCCGAGGGTCCCCGGGGGCGGGGAGCGGCCCCCCCAGCCCAACGGCTGGCAGTACGGCTCCCCAAGCCGGCCAGGGAGCACAGCTTTCCCGCCTCAGGACTCAGAGAGTGGGGGACGCCGGCCGAGCTTCCCCCCACATGCCAACCCCGACAAGATTGCCCAGCGCAAGAGCTCCATGAGCCAGCTCCAGCAGTGGGTGAACCTGCGTCGGGGGGTGCCTCCCCCCGAAGACCTTCGGAGGTGAGGCCTGCGGAGGGGCAGGGGTGGAGCTGGGGTGCTGGTGCCACAAGGGCGGGGGCTGGGGGAGCAACAGGAGAGGCACCCCCTGTTGGAAACCTTCTGGAAGCCAAGAAAGCCCCAGGGTCCCCGCTTGCCCAAGTCCTTTGCTGCCCTCATGGCTCCCTCGGCCGGATTTTGCTCTCTATCTGCTTCCTTTGGAGGAAGGGACAGAGCACCCAGTGTCTCTCCACAGGGTGTGGGGGGCCCAGGAAGCAGGCAGGCAGTTTGGGAGGGTCCCTAAAGTTGTCCCAGTCAGACTTCTGTCCCTGGGCTTCTGGCCCTCCCACCACATCCTGTGTTCCAGTGTGTCTTCCAGCAGGAGACCCATGGTCAGCCACCGCGCCAGCTCCATCCCCGAACAGCTCTGACTCTGTGAAAGCCAATGTTTATGGGCCGTTTTTTCAAAAGAGAAAAGAAACAAAGTGTTGCCACTCATTGACCCCAGTTCTGCCCTCTGTACCAACCGACTCTTTTATCGAGGGACTGGCTTTCAAACACGGGGAGGTTCTCATTGGGCCCTGGGGGCCGGGCAGCTCGGGCAGTGTGGGCAGGGGCAGTGTCCTAGCAGCTCCGAGGGCTGCTCCCTGCTGGTGGTCTGGCGCCTGGCCGCCGGCCCTGCCCGGAGAGCGAGCGCCTCCCTTGGCTCCGGTCCCATCAGAGCAGGGGAGCCGCTCTTTGTTCCTCTGTGGCCTCCTCCGGGTGCCTGGGGCACTCGCTCTCTTCTGTGTGGGACAGGATCTGATAAATTGATTCACGGAGATAGAGATGGCTAATAAGGCTTAAAGTTTCTCCCCAGGGGTATTGCATTTTAAGAGACAGAGATGGAAGTTCGGGGAGCTGGTTGAGAGAGGAGCATTGAGGACAGGGTCTTCCCTGAACCTCTGGACACAAACCTGGTGCCCGGGGTGCTCACAAGGCCAGCCCGAGGCACCCCTCACGTGATCATACCCCACTCCAGGCTGGAGGGCTCAGGAATGCGGCTGGGTAGGGCCCTGCCCACTGTGTCCACGTCTGACACTGTCCTCTCCCTCAGTCCCTCTAGGTTCTACCCCGTGTCCCGCAGGGGCCCTGAGTATTGTGGCCCCTACTCCCCGTTCCCCGACGATTACCAGTACTACCCGCCGGGGGTGCGGCCGGACAGCATCTGCTCCATGCCCGCCTACGACCGCATCAGCCCACCCTGGGCCCTGGAGGACAAGCGCCACTCCTTCCGCAACGGGTGCGGGTGGAAGGAGCCCGCCAGCTACGGGCGGCAGGACGGCACCGTCTGGATCCCCAGCCCCTCCCGGCAGCCCGTCTATTACGATGAGCTGGACGCCACCTCTGGCTCCCTGCGCCGCCTGTCCTTGCAGCCCCGGTCCCACTCCGTGCCCCGCTCGCCCAGCCAAGGCTCCTACAGCCGCACCCGCATCTACTCCCCCGTCCGCTCGCCCAGTGCCCGTTTTGAGCGGCTGCCGCCTCGCAGTGAGGACATCTACGTGGACCCCACCGCCTATGTGATGAGACGATCCATCAGCTCGCCCAAGGTGAGCCACCAGCCTGCCCCTCCCTCCTCACCCCCCGGGGGTTCCCCAGGAGCCCGAGATCATCTGCTGAGAAGAGGTGGCGATGCGGGAGCATCTGGGACATGGGGACCCTGGGCTGTGTGTGGACCGGGCCAGCAATGTGCCCAGAGAGCCCCTGGCCCTGTGGTTCCGTCCCCAGGAGAGCTGCCCTGGGGGGCGTGCTTTGCCCCCTAAGTAGGAACGTTGCTGTCTGTGCCCATGGCCAGATTATGCCAAGAACCCTCGTTCTCTATAAGAGGGCGGAGAGGACTCTGGTGTTCAGATCTGCAGGACTGAACAGGTCATTGCCAGGATCTCGCACTGGAGCAAGGCTGTCCATTTGAGTTTGGAATCTGCTCTGGGACAGGGTACACATATCCCTAACCTTGAACTTCAGTTGGTGGGGAAGTCCACGTCCCAGCCGGACCCTCTCACCTCTCCAATCCCCTTTCTCTTCCAGTATGATTACCTGGGAGACAGGCGGCCAGTCCCTGCAGGACTGTACCCCTACAACTACCCACCACCCCCCACGGTTCACGATAAGATGGTACGTCCTCTCCTCCCCCACACTCCCCTCAGGACCGCTCCTCCCTCCCGGGAGGGCTCCGTGCCCCCTGCCTGGCCCATGTGGTTGTTAGCAGCCTCTGGATACCTCCTTCCTCCCGGCCAGGACTCTGACCCCAGGAGAGCTTGGTGCCAGTTGCCCCTTCCCTGTGACACAGGGCAGAGACGCAAGGACAGATCTGGAACGTTGTGATGTCCTGAGCCTCTGGCCTCAGAGCAATCCTGCAGCTCGTCCAGGGGCCTGGACAGGGGCTCAGATTGCCGGCCGGGAAGCCATTCGGGCTAGAACTCCCAGCAGGCATGGCCTCATACCCCTTCCCCCCAAGTGCACCTGCTTCCGTTTGTCCTGGCCTGGAATGCCGCTCTGGGGAAGGAGGCTGGCAGGGGTGGGGGAGAAGAGATGTTCCATATTGTTTCCTCGTTCCTCTCCCTCTACTGTGTCTTTCCCTAAGTTTTGTCTCCACCTGGGGAGCTAGAACTGAGAGGCAGGCCGAACCGTCATCCCCCAGGCCTGTTGCTGTCCCCCTCCCTGCACAGCACCCGGAGGCCAGGGTGGAGGAGGCTGGGCAGGGAGGGCTGCACCTCCGTACCCTCTCCTCCTCTGCCAGCGTCCAAACCCCAGCCTTACCCACGTAAATGCGCCCACCCAGAAACAGCAGATTCCACCAGAAAACTGGGCAACATCTGCTGGAGGTGCAGACCAGACCACTCAGTGGCTCCTCCTCACCTGGGAGGGCCTGCCGACCAGGGAGCCCCAAGGGGCCCCCGTGTCTCCATGGCTGCTTGGGCAGTCCAGCAGGCAGCCCCCGCACCTGCCCACATCCTCGCCCCACCCTTCCCCAGGACTCCACGGCAGAGAGGCCTCTGTCCTTGCCCAGCTAACTCTTAACTGCTTTGCTTCCTTTTTATTGTTTTCTTTTGTCCTGTTCCTGTTTGTTTGTGTTGCCGTTGGGCCTCGGGTTCCGGGTAGGATGAACTTTTAGACCTTCAGTTGCAAAGAAACCTAGAGTATTTGGATCAGCAGGTAGGCAGAGCTGGTGCCCCCTCGCCACCCCTGCTCCTGTCCCATCTCCCCGCTCCTTCCTGCCTCCTCCCCGCCTCCTCATCTTCCATCCATCTGACAGCCTTTGTTGGCACAACCAGGACACAACAAAGTGGCCTATATTTTGGTTTGCGCCTTCACACCCCTTCCCTTCCGAGCTTTTTAGGGCAGCTGGGAGTTTCCCGGGGAAGGAGAATATAAATGGCCCCATGAATAATGAATGCCACCTCCTGTTTGTTCAGCCAGATGGGACTGCCCCCAGGGGCAGGCGGGAATTTGCATCTTTGCTGGAGAGAGTAGCACAGATGAGATGCTTGGGCCTAACATGCTAGGGTTTAGTTCAGCGGGAATCTGGGAAATGACCCTGTTAGACTCTGCAGTTTGTAACCAGGATGACAGACTTGTCCTAGGATGGTTCAAAAACCCTATCGATTCAATATATTTGTTAGTTCACATACATGCACAGCGTATGTTTTCCTGCGAATTCACTATGGTGGACAGAGGGAGTCATTTCAACCCAGTTTCACAGATGAGCATCCTGAAGAGGCAGAGATTGTTCCCACGGGATGGAAGCCATGGGCTGCCTGGGCCGGGCTCCTGGGCTCTCTGCCCATTGGCCACCTGGCCTTGTAGGTTCAGGGGGCGGTGACACTCACAGCCAGGGGTCAGCACGCTGGGCATTTCTCTGAGCACATCCTCTCATGCTCAGATCTGTGCTACAAATCACGGGAGGCAGCCTGGGGTGGTGGGGAACATCATAATGGTAGTCATAGCAACAACAGTGGCCGCAGCGACCAGAATTGGGTGTTTCCTCTGTGCTCCGTGCTGTTCTAAGCACTTCACGGAGCCTAACTCATTTAATCTTGATAGAAACCCTGCAAGGGGGGGGGGGGGGCTATGATGATCCCCTTTTATAACTGGTAAAACTAAAGCTCAGAGAGGCTAGAAAGTGGGCTGAGGGCACACAGCTGGTGCATGGCAGAGCGTGGAATAGGAGTCTGAGCTTTGACCTAGTTTACAGCTTCGGAAACGTCTAGTAAATGAAGAAGCTGGGGTCACACCTCGTCGGGATGGTTTTGTGCTCTCGGAGCTGTCGAAAGAAGCAGAAGCATGGCATCAGAGGCGATAACTATGACTGTGGGTGGTTCTAGTCACAGCACGTGACAAGCACCTCACCGGGCCTCATGTCTTCGTCACTCATCCTCGCAGAAGGCCTTGGGCACGGGAAGCGCTGACACCTGCATGTCAATCAGCAGGGAGGGCTCCCAGCCCGCAAGGACCTTGCAGTTAGTTCCAGAAAGCAGCACTGTGTTGCCCAGTCCCTGGGGGTGTCCAGTCCATGGATAACCGGGAGGCCAAGCCTGAGCAGGCCTGGAAGCCCTGACCCCCAGCCCCAGAGCTGGGTCTGCTGTGCCCTGGGCCCCAGGCCGGCTCTCCTCCCTGCAGCCCGTCCACAGTGCCTGGCTGTCCGGTTATTCAGTGCAGACAGCAGTGCCTCTACTGGGGCCTCTGTCCTCCCAGAGGGGCGGGCTTCAGAAATAAGCTTTCGGAGTTGTCCCCCTCAATAAACAGATATCCTAGGTATTCTTAAGAGGCAGTTGGACATGATAAGCCTCCCGAACACAGAGTCAGACACGGCGCTTTAGATCCAGCTCTGCCATGTACAAGGATTTTGCTTTGTTGTTGTTTTTTTACCTTGAAAATGTCACTAGTCTCTCTGGGCCTTTGTTTTCTCAATTATAAAACAGTCATCATAGAACCTGCCCTCCCTGCCTCCAGAGGTATCAGGGGAATCGAGTAAGAATGCATATGAGAGCACGTTATCAGGCATTGGCAATAAGTGGTCATTGCTGCTCTGGTTATTTTATTGTTCTTTTTCTTCTAAAACTCAATTTCAAATATTACTGAGCGCCCTTATTATGTATAAGGCACTGGGCTAGGTGCTGTCTCAGAGAGACAGAGGATGGTACCCAGGAGTCTAGAGAGACGGAGGATGGTACCCAGGAGTCTAGAGAGACAGAGGATGGCACCCAGGAGTCTAGAGAGACAGAGGATGGTACCCAGGAGTCTTCCTAGAGACAGGCCCCACCTGGGCTGAAAGAGCTCGAGTCACACCAGGGTGGGTACAGGCCTGGGTGGGGCCAGTCC